ATTAATAGGCTCCACCCATCTCAAACACACAAAAAAATCATTTTGATGATGCTTATGATTTTTACCATTTTTATTACATGCATACATTGGTTTGACTGCAGTGTTATAACACCCAAGGTCAAGGGTTTGGATCCCCATACTGGCCAGCTGCAAAAAAATACATGAATATAAATAAATTATTATATACATACAGTTCCTGCCCTGTTGATTTATTTCACATTGGATGATGGAACCTCACTGTCAGAATTCTGTGCCATCTCCTCTAATTGAAAAAAATATTCCTATAGATTTTCATGAAATTGTTTTTAAAACTCAGTGTCTGAATTCATATATGGGGATGTGTACCCATAAAGCAACAAGTTTTACATAGGTTTAGGGAATCCCCAAATTCATCATATTCAGAGTATCTCCTCAAAGACATCTTTGTTCTTGGATAAATGCTAGTTCTCTCAAATATCTTTCATTTCTGCTGATTTTCTATGCTGGAAATCCCAATATTTTCTAGGTGTGGAAAATAAGAAATATTCCTTGTTAATCTTGCCATTTCTATCCTACTAGAGGTTTGTCCCCACAAACAATCCTGCTGAAAAGTTGCCCCTATGGTTCCAAGTTGCATTTCCCATTCTAAAGTTACACAGAAAAACAAATTTAAGATTTGCAGAAAGAAATGGTTGATTGAAGGAGTTATAAATGATAAGGCTCATTCATATTTATTCACAAGTTAAACAAGATTTACACAGAAAAACAAATTTAAGATTTGCAGAAAGAAATGGTTGATTGAAGGAGTTATAAATTATAAGGCTCATTCATATTTATTCACAAGTTAAACAAGATTAAAAAATCAAAATTTGAGTTTGGCAATGCCAATAGAGCATGGTGCTGGATAGCACCAAGGTCAAGGGTTCAGATCCCCATATCAGCCAGTGGCCAAAAAAACCTCAAAAACAGACAAAAACAACTTGGCAAGGACAGGGGGTCAAATTTTTAGTTCATTACAAACTCATTCTTTGAAAATTAAAACTGATGGTGAACCAAAGAGAATATTAGGGACAGAGAGTAGCAAAGATGTAGACAAAGTGAATATGTAAAATGGTAAAGAAGAAAGATATACGTAATTTTGTGAGATCATATTAAAGTTAAATAGGTGAAGTTTTCTTTTTTGGGGGCAGGGGGCAGCTGGCCAGTATGGGGATCCAAACCCATGACCTTGATATCTTAAGGCTGCATCCTAACTAATTGAGCTATGGCCAGCCCAAACAGATGAAGTTCTCGATCATTACTTTTTCAAGTATTTTTTACCGCATCACACTTTTTCTTCTAGAACTCCCATTTCTTGAATGTTTACCTTTTGGTATTGTCACACAGACCTCCTGGGGCTCTACTACTTGCATGTTGGATAACTTTTGGATTATATTCTGGACATTTTGAATATGTTATGACACTCTGAGTTGTTAAGCCCTATGGAGAGGCTGGTCCATTAGCTCAGTTGGTTAGAGCACAGTGTTGTAACACCAAAGTCAGGGGTTCGGATTCCCTTACCATCCACCCGCAAAAAAGAAAGAAAAAAAATCCTATGGAGAATGGAGATTTGTTTTAAACCAGGCAATTCCCCAGTCCAGTTCAGCTTGCAAGTTTCAATCAGCCCTCTGTGGGTTGTGATTTCAATGTGAGTTCTGTCTGTTTTCACTGACGCTGCACTATTTGTGTCTCTAGAGTCTAGACTATGTAGGTCGTCTATCTCATAGTCCACTTCTCAAGGTCTATGGTATGCCTCACTGGCACCACAGGATTGCTTGGAGGCTGGGGGCAAGCGAATGAAAAAAGACTGTAGGAAATGTTTCCATGACACCAAAACTAAAAGGTGATTATGCAAGGTGAAGGATATATTAATTAGCTTGATTGTGGTCATCTTTTCACGATCTTGCACACCATGTTGTACACTCTAAAAGTACACAATTTTTACTTGTCAATCATACCTCAATAAAGATGGGGAATAAGTAAAATGTGAGTGGAAATTAGGTATTTATAATTGAAAAGTCATAAAAATACTAATTAACAGCTCTTTTCTTCCCTGGATGCCTGAGGATCTACCACCATCATGAATGGCACACTAACTATCCACATGAGGAAGTTCATGACCAATTGACTACTTCAGAGTAAACAAATGGTCATCAATGTCCTTCACCCTACGAAGGCAACAATACCTAAGACAGAAATTTGGGAAAAACCAGCCAAAATATACAAGACCTCACTGATATCATCTTTGCACTTGGATTCAGAACTCACTTTGGTGGTGGCAAGACAACTGGCTTTGGTGTAATTTACAATTCCTGGGATTCTGCAAAGAAAAATGAACCCAAAACACAGACTTGCAAAATATGGCCTGTATGTGAAAAAAAAGACCTCAGGAAAACAGCAAAAGGAATGCAAGAACAGAATGAAGAAAGACTGAAGGACTGCAAAGGTCAGCGTTGGTGCTTGCAAAAAGTGAGCTGGAAACTGGATAACAGCAGAAGGAGTAAAGATTCTGCAATGGATTTATCTGTGGTGACTGTGTGGGTTTTTCACAAGAAAATTAATAAACTGTAAAAACTTTTTAAAAAATACTAATTAAAACTTTACGGGAGATTCAGTTATAGCAATAGAATGCTAGTCAAAGCTTCAAATGTTTACAGAATAGGAAACAACAAAGTCTGCAAAATGAGGTATGCATTTAAGAGGTAGGAAAAGAATAACACAATAAAGACAAAATAACTAGAATGGAAGTTAAAATAGATAAGAACAGAAATTAACAAAATAGAACATACTATGAATGACTTGTGTACCCCCAGAGTTCTTATCTTAGCTCCCAAGGTGGTTGTATGTACAGAGGGGACCTTCTAGAGGTAATTAGGGTTAGAAGAAATCATGACAGTGGGGTTGCCATGATAGTATAGTCACATGCCACATAAGAACGTTTTAGTCAAGGACAGACTGCATACACGATGGAGGTCTCACAAGACTATAATGGCAAAGACTAGCTGATTAACTCAGTTAGAACGTGATGTCATAACACCAAGGTCAAGGGTTCAGATCCCCATTCCTGTGAACCGCCGAAAAAAAAAATTATAATAAGTATACATAGCCCAAGTGTGTAGTAGGCTATATCATCTAGGTTTGTGCAGTACACTCTATGGTGCTCTCACAATGACAAAATGGACTAAAGATCCACTTTTCAGAACTTGTCCCTGTCGTTAAGCAACACATGACTGTACCCTATAAAGAAGAGACATAAAAGAGCTTGCTGGTTCTCTCTCAGCAACTAAAGACACAGCAAGGCAGCACTCTACAAGCCAAGAGAGCCCTCACCAGAAACCCACCATGCTCACACCCTGACGCATACTTCCAGCGTCTACATCACTGAGAAAATAAATTTCTGTTGCTTAAGCCACCTGGTCTATGGTAATTTGTTTGGCAGCACAACCTGCCATAAAACATAAGCCAGAAGTACACTAATCAAACCCGAAATTAACAAAACTAAGTAAATCTTGGCAATATTAACATTAAAAAGGCATAAATAAATGATATTAGCAACAAAAAAGGGACACAAAAGATATATAATCACAAAAGTCAGAAATACTAAAAATATCAGAACATTTTATGAACTTTAACTGTAAATTTAAAATTACAGAAATGCCTATAAAAACACTTGCCAAAACAAAATTTTCCAAAACTGACAAGGTGAAACTGGAAACCTTACCAATCCCACAAATCCAAAACAAAAACAACAACAAAAAAGAATCCATGCTTTAAAATCATTCCAAACTTGAGAAGAAAAACCAGTAACAATGGCAGTAAGTAATCCAGATTTGAATTTTACTATTGTATTTTGCATAACATAAAGGAAACACTACTTATCATATGAATATAGTGTTTGAGTTAAGAAAATACTCCTATATTCATACTAAACCCAGACAAGTATACTTACACACAAAAAAAACTTCTCCATAATATGGAATACATTCAGGCAATAAAAAAATCAATCCATTATACCCAAGTTGAGTTTTTGGAATTACAAGGATGATTTAACATTGTAATGTCAATTAATTAATTTGCTACGTTTTTTTCAAAGTCCTTTTATTTACTAATTAATTCAAATATCATGTATCTAACATAGGCAGGCACAGATGTAGGTACTTGAAAGTTCTCAGTGAACAAATATGATCACCTAAGAGGAATCAGGGGAAATATGTACAAACTGCTTAAGGTATTCATGAGAAAGCCTCCCCAACTTATGAAAAGTGGAAAAAGTGTTGACTTGGTAATATGTGCAATAGCCAATACATGATTGGTAAAAATGGAAAACGTGTCATTAAGATTAGACAGTAAGTATGCTGCTTTTACTACCTCTAGTCATTGTACAGGAGGTCTTGCTCAGCCAGCAAAGCAAGAAAAAGACATAAATAACCTAAGGTTTGAAACGGAAAAGTCAAATTGTCATTAATTACAGATATGCTCACCTGTGTGGAAAAAAAAATACATAAAAACTAGAATTTTTAAGAATGTTAAACAAGGCTTCTAGTAAAAATTCAATTTACAAAAATCAACTACATTTTATATATTGCCACTCAGAAATCAGCTTCTGGGGCAGGGCCATGCCAGGGCTATGAGGCTGGTGTATCACCTGTTAATGACACTGTCACGAGGAGCCCAAGCACCAGGATGAAGCCAACCTGCAGAACTGACCTCACCCATGACCCAAAGTGCTCAGACCCGGGCAACTATGAACAAGTTCCAGGGAGGACCAACAGGATTTATTTCACACAATCAGGATGGCTTCTATGGCTTCGAAGAGCCACTGCAACCCACACAAGGAAGTTATAACTAATCTAATGATCTTTGGTGTCAGTGCCAATAACTAAAGGTGGCAACACGTGGGATAAATAGCAATACTCACACCCACAAGAGAACCACTCCACCACCCACTCTTCTCCAGAAACAAACATACAACACCAAAGTGCACAGGTCTCTTCCACTTGGTATTTATTAAGCTTGATCTGAATTACCATTACATTGGTTTGACTAAGCTACACAGAAACAGTCATCAATCAGCTGCAGTCCCAATGGCCACATGACATAACCAAAAGCACTCAAGTGTCAGAAGTATATAAATGTTTATCACTCAGATTGAAACCTACCCGAGCTAATGTGTGCATCCAAGGTCCACATTTGGGAAGTGCCAGCGATGGTGTCAAGCACAGCAGAACATCATGACCAGCCATGTTCACAGAAGTTTTTCTGTTTTCACAGCAGTGGATGAAACGACAAACACAGAAGCAGGTCATGCTGCCAGTCCCAGCTGTTGCTTGATTCAGGAACATGAGATGATTGCTTTGCCAAAGTTTAGTGGATCTATGGGTCAAAGATAACATGCAGGGTTCTCAGCCCCTCCCTGGACTGCCTGAGGTTAGCGGTATGGCTCTCCATGGTCATGAAATTGGGGTATCTTACACTACTGGCTTTGACCTCATCATCTCTCCACTCGATCCTTTCTGAACCCTATCCTTTTACCTGAAAGGATCAGGTGTGAGAGAGACCCAAGTGCCTTTTTACACTTTGAGCCTTACATCCCCCACCTTAGACAGTGTGAGCCACTGTAGGTGGGCCATTTCTAAGACCATGACAAACCAACAAGAAACTACACTATTAAAATAAGCCATGTCTGAATCCTGAAGGCTCACTTGGTTGTGCTGCAACCTGGAAGGTTGAGCAACTAGACAGGAGTGGCACTGCAATAGGGGAAAGTAGGACATATCATGCTGGGAAGGATCAGGGCAGAATCACAACTATTTAAAACGAATTTATACAACCACGTAGGCAGCCATGTCTCTGCCAGCAGACAAGACTTCAGGACACAGGGATGCAATCTTCACATTCCATACATACAGTGTCTCTTGAGTGTGAATCACATCATGTTTATTAAAGGTTAAGTAAAAATGTAATATAAAAAGTGACTTCCCAACATTTCTTACTTTCAAGTTTTTCTCCACTGTGAATATGCAGGTGAACATCAAAGTATTTAGCAGAACGGTGACTTTTCCACATATCTTATACCAATAGTTTCTCTCCATTGCAAGAACTCTCATACTCAGTAGCACGTGAGAAAATAAGTTCTCCGTGTTTCTTACACTGTATGGCTTCAGGGTGAGTTCATATATGCTGGATTGTGAACAAATTCTAATGTCTTTGCTATATTTCTTAATTTCATGGGGCATTTTTGGAGTGTGAGTTCTTTCAAGTTCTTAAACAGGGACAACTGAACACTTTTATAAATTGCTTATACGAATAAGGTTTCTAGGCACTGTGAATCAGAGTGTGGTTGTTAAGGCAGGACAACTTCCTAAAATTTTCCTCATTCTTTACATACAAAGGATTCCTCTACAGTGTCTTTCTATATGTTCAGTAAGATAAGAAGAACTATTGAAGGCTTTCCCACATTCCTTACACTCATAGGGCTTCTCCCCAGTGTGAGTTCGTACATGTTTAGTAAGGCCTGAAAGCCCAGTGTAGGCTTTCCCACAATCCTTACATTTATACGGCTTTTCCCCGGTGTGAGTTCGTACATGGCTAGAAAGGTTTCCATACTGAGTGAAGGCTTTCCCACATTCCTTACATTTGTAGGGTTTCTCTCCAGTGTGAATTCTTACATGTTTACTTAGATGTGAAAAAAATGTGAAGGTTTTCCCACATTCCTTACATTCGTGTGGCTTCTCTCCAGTGTGAGTTCGCATGTGAATGGAAAAATAGGAGGAATACCTAAATGCTTTCCCACACATCTTACACTCGAAAGGCTTCTCTCCACTGTGAGTTCTCAAATGTGGAATAAGAGATGAGGAAGAAGCAAAGGCTTTTCCACACTGGTCACATTCAAAGGGTTTCTCTCCTGTGTGAGTTCTTACATGTTCAATAAGGCCTGAGGATGTACCGAAGGTTTTCCCACATTCCTTACATTTATATGGCTTTACCCCACTGTGAGTTCGTTCATGTATAGTAAGCCCTGAGTGTACAGTGAAGGCTTTCCCACAATCCCTACACTTGTACGGTTTTACTCCAGTGTGAATTCGAAAGTGATTATTAAGGTATGAAGAATTTCGAAAGCATTTTCCACAAACCTTACATTTAAAGGGCTTCTCTCCAGTGTGAGTTCTTAAATGTTGAGTTAGTAGATAAGGCCTAGAGAAGGCTTTCCCACATTCTTTGCATTCATACGGTTTCTCCCCAGTATGGGTTCGCATATGAAATTTAAGGTAGGAAGGATATATAAAGACTTTCCCACAATCCTTACATTCATAGGCTTTTTTTACACTTTGGGTTTGCATGTGTGTGGCACAGCTTGTGAAATGAGCAAACATTTTCCCATGTTCCTTCCATTTGTAGAATTTTTCTCCATTTTGAGTTCTCATATGTCCCTGAAGGTGTGACTCATTAGCAAAAGCTTCCCCACAGTCACCGCATTCAAAAGATTTCTCTCGAGCACACATTCTCTGGTAAGCAGCATCTGAAGTCAGGTTGAAAGCTTTTCCCCCCTGACTCAATACAGAACATTTCTCTCCAGTAAAGGTTCTCTTGTGCAGAGGTAGGAAGTCTCCATACTGATTACACTCAGAAGCATCCCCTCTATTCAGAGTACTCATGTATATCCTAAGACGTGAGGGTTCACTGAGGACTTCTCCACACTGCTTGCAGTCATAGAGCTCCCCTCCTTTGCAGCCTCTGGCCTGTTGGTAAAGGGATGAATGATGATTAGAGAATTTTCCAGACTTATTAATAGATTCCACCCATCTGAAGACAAAAACATTACAATGATGATGATTATGGTTTTTGCCATTTTCATAACATGCATACAGTTCCTGTTCTCTGGATGTTTTTCAACTTGAATATAGGAACTCTATGCAAAAATGCTGTGTCACCTCTCTAATCTTGAAATGATTCCTGTAGATTTTTATAAAGTTGGTTAAGACCTTGATGTCTAGCTATATACATGGGAATGTGTACTTTTGAGAATTGTGAAGGACCAACCTTCACACAAGGTTTTGGGAATCTCTCCAGAGACGTTGCTCCCTCTTGGGTGAATACTGCTTCATTCAAGTATCTCTCATTTCTGCTGATCTCATTAATGGAATTCCCAATTTTCTCTGAAATGGGGAAAATAAAAAATATCCCTTGTTAATCTCACCAGTTGTCTCCTATTTGATGTTTTTAAACAAAAGTCATCCTGCTGAAGTGCTGGCCCTTTGCATTCAAGTATCTCTCATTTCTGCTGATCTCATTAATGGAATTCCCAATTTTCTCTGAAATGTGGAAAATAAAAAATATCCCTTGTTAATCTCACCAGTTGTCTCCTATTTGATGTTTTTAAACAAAAGTCATCCTGCTGAAGTGCTGGCCCTTTAGTTTTAAGATGCATTTCCCATTCTGAAGGAAAACACAAAAACATACATTAAGGTTTACACAAGAAAGGTTAAATAAGTTAAAAGTGATAAAGCTCATTTGTATTTCTTTTCACACTAAACACTCTAAAAAATAAAGCACAGATAGATTTGAGCAATTTAGCTGTGTCTAAAATTTGGCAACCATAAGGACTTGGGGTCAAATTTTAGAAATTTATTAACAATTTACCTTCATGAAAATTATATGTCATACTGAACAGAATTTTTAAAAAACCATACACCCAAAGAAAAAAGACCAAGTCGCTTGTGAGATCTTGTAAGTCTGGAAAGAAGGAAAGCAACAGAGTATGGGAAACTGAAGATATCCCAAAACTTCCCTGTGTAATACACAAAGCCTTCTGATTGAAAGGACATTTTGAAGTTTCCTCATTAAACTTCCAAACATACTAAGCTTTTCATTGACTAGGGACGATCTTCACATTTACCAGGGATGATCTTCACATTTACCTGGAACTCCTTTCTGCACTGTCCCAAACTCTTCTTTCTCCAACCAAGAGATCAGTCTGGGTTTGAAGAGCTGATATCCTGTATACAGAAAAAGATAAATCACTAGAAGAGGCTCATGCAAGAGATGACAACCCTACCATAAAACAGAAACTTCATCTCTAATTAAAGCAGTGATATGATTTCTATACAGTGCAAAATGCAAATATCCCCTTTCTGCATCCCAAAGACATTGGTTATACCTGACCCTTGAAACCCATGATCAGGGTTCTATGCACATTTAAAAACCACTAAGACTTTTATTCAAGTAGAAAACAGAAGTGCAAAAGGAGACCTTCACTGTCATGAAAAACTAGTACACCAGTCGTTCTCAACTTTAGAGTGAATCAGATTCATCTGGAGAGTCTGTTCAAACACAGATGACAGAGCCCCAACAGCAGACTTTCTGATGAAGCACGTGAAAGGTGGAGTCTCATAATGTACATTTCCAATAGAGTGACAGTGACGCTATTGATCTCATCACCACATTCTGAAAACTACCACACTAAATTAAAACCCACTGGTGCAGGGACTCTGTCTCTTTATTTCCCATTGTATTCAGATTTGATGTCACCAATCCTGGAACACAGGAAGTATATAATATAGATCTGTTCCATAAGAGGGTATAAGGAATGATTTAGTCTCACCTACTGAGGCCAGGTTCTTGTAGTTCTCCAGCATCACATCTCTATATAGGTTTCTCTGAGTTGGGTTGAGCAAAGTCCACTCCTCCTGGGTGAAGTCCACAGCCACATCTTCAAAGGTCACTGAATTCTAAATCATAACACACATATCCTGGCTTGAGCCAAGTAATATCTCTAGCAATATTCAATGAAGAATGAAAAAGTGAGACCAATGCCTACACAGGGTTCTGATGGCTCCCACTGTCAACCCCAGGGTTCAATGGTCCTAGGAAATATCCATCCACACTCACTCACAGTTATCTCATTCAGTCATATGGCTTTAACAGCACCTCTTACACCTGACCTTATCTTACCACATCTAGACTAGGAACTCTTCTCTCTCTCCATTTTTTTTTTTTTAAATTTTATTTTGTTGATATACATTGTGTCTCTCTCCATTTTTTTTGGCAGCTGGCTGGTATGGGGATCTGAACCTGTGATTTTAGTGTTATAAGGCTACACTCTACCCAACTGAGCTAACCAGCCAGCCCCCACCTTCTCCTCTTATTTCCCTCTACTGCAGCACCCTCCTGATCACAGACACTTGATAAATGGTGATGTATGAAGAAATTCTTTGAAAAGGACACTTTCATCTTTCTTACCACCTGTCAGAGCACCCAGAAAAACAAACATGCAGTCAGCACCAGGACTTAAGATTAATTCATAATTACTAAAATACTGAGATAATTTTCAGAATAATCCCTCAGCGACATGAGAGGCATGACTTTCTGGGGAAATTTAGGTAGGAACTCAGTCCTGCCAGTGGTCTTTATTTGCTTCCAGAAGCTCTGTAGACAGGTCTACCTACTAGGAAGTGTGTCTTCCTGGGTGATAAAATTATGCCATTTTGTAGTTGAATAGAAAAAGTTTGAAGCTCAGAAGTTCTCCACACTAGATTTGGGGAATCCCAAATTCATCATATTCAGAGTATCACTCCAGAGACATTGCTCCCTCTTGTGTACAAACATACACTTTCTGAGCTGAGCAGTGCCTTGCTACTTGATACCTGAAAACAATTTGTCAGGCAATGAGCCATCATCCTTTCTACCTCTGTCTTTTCATCATGAAGGCAGATTGGGTCCTTAGAAAGCAGAACTCCTGGAAAAGAAAGAAGACATGAGAACCCAGAGCTAACCATAATTCCCACATTCACATGCCTGGGTACATTCTACTTTGTTCAAAATTCCCATGAAAAGTATACCTTAGAGATACTGTGGGTTCAAGTCCACCACAATAAAGTCACACAAATTTTTTGGTTTCCCAGTACATATAAAAGTTATATTTACACTCCACTGGAGTGTACTAAGTGTGCAATAGCATTATGTCCAGAAAACCAATGTACAGTCATGAGTGTGTCACTTGACAAAGGGAATACATTCTGAGAAATGTGTCAATAGGCAAGTTTGTCCTTCTGTGAGCATCACAAAGTGCACTTATATAAATCTAGCTGGTATAGCCTACTATATACCTAGGGTTTATGGTATAGCCATAACAATCTTATGGGGCCACCATCATATGTGTGGTCCATCATTGACTGAAATATTGTAATGTGGCATATGACTGTATACACCTTAATTTAAAAGCACTTTATTGCTAAAAAAAAAAAAAAATCTAGTAATCATCTGAGCCTCCAGTGAGTCATAATCTTTCTTGCTGGTGGAGGGTCTGGCTTCCATGTTCATGGCTGCTGACTGATCAGGGTGGTGGTTGCTGAACATTGGGGTGGCTGTGGCAATTTCTTAAAATATAACAGGGTCTGGCTTCCATGTTCATGGCTGCTGACTGATCAGGGTGGTGGTTGCTGAACATTGGGTGGCTGTGGCAATTTCTTAAAATATAACATAGTATGTAGCATCGATTGACTCTTTCATAAAAGATTTCTCTGTAGCATGTGACGCTACTTGATGGCATTTTTCCCACAGAGGAATTTCTTTCAAAATTATAGTTAATCGAGTTCTCTTTCCCATCTTGCAAGATGGCAGGTGAAAAAGCTGAGAAGCCGGATACTTAGGAGAAGAAACCTGAAGCCAAGAAGGCTGACAGTGGTGGCAAGGTTAAAAAGGCTAACCTCAAGGCTAAAAAGCCAGAGAAGGAGAAGCCCTAATGCAGCCGAAACCCTGTCCTGGTTAGAGGAATTGGCAGATATTCCCCATCTGCTATGTATTCCAGAAAGGCCATGTACTAGAAGAAATACTCAGCGAATACGTCCAGGACTGAAAAGAAGGAGAAGGTTCCTGCTACTGTCACAAAACCAGTTGGAGGTGACAAGAATGGTGGTGCCCGGGTGATTTAAACTTCACAAAATGCCTAGATATTATCCTACTGAAGATGTTCCTCGAAAGCTGTTGAGCCATGGCAAAAAAAACCTCTCTCAGTCAGCATGAGAAGACTGTGAGCTAGCATCACTCCAAGGACCATTCTGATCATCCTTACTGGGAACCACAAAGGCAGGAGGGTGGTTTTCATAAAGCAGCTGAGTGGTGGCTTGCTACTTGTGACTGGACCTTTGGTCCTCAATTGGATTCCTCCACGTAGAACACACCAGAAATCTGTCATCACCACTTCTACAAAAATTGATATCAGCAATGTAAAAATACCAAAACATCTCACCAATGCATACTTTAAGCAGCATAGCTGCAGAAGCCTAGACACCAGGAAGGTGAGATCTTTGACACAGAAAAAGAGAAGTACGAGATTACAGAGTAGCACAAGGCAGATCAGAAAGATGTGGACTCGCAAATTTTACCAAAAATCAAAGCTGTTCCTCAGCTCCAAGGCTACTTGCGATCTGTGTTTGCCCTGAATAATGGAATTTACCCTCACAAATTGGTGTTCTAAATTTCTTACCAAGAACCAAATTAAATAACTGATATGTTTTTTAAAAAAAATTGGAGTTAATCCTCTCAAATCCTGCTGCTGCTTTAATCCGCAAAGTTTATGTAATATTCTAAATCCTTTGTTCTCATTTCAACAATGTTCATAGCATCTTCACCAGGAGTAGATTTCATCTCAAGAAATCACTTTCTTTGTTCATCCATAAGAAGCAACTCCTCATCTGTTAATGTTTTATCATGAGATTGCGGCACTTCAGTCACATCTTCAGCAAGCTCTTGAAACTCACAAACATACACACTGTGGCCATACAATGCCACAGCAGTTCTGTATCACTACAGCTAGAAAAAGGGGCATGAGCCATCCAGCCCATCAGTAAAGGTATAACATTCTCATGGAACAGGTAAAGAAACTTAAGCCTTGAGAAACATTACTATTTGCCAATGGCAATATGACTTATGAATGAGATTATATAGCACCTCTTCCCAAAGAACATACTGGGGTGCTGACTCACAAAAGAGCCTTCCAAAAAAACTGAAGAGGAGGGAATACTTCCAAACTCATTTTACAAGGCCAGCATTACCATGCTACCAAAGCCAGACAAGGATACTATGAAAAAGGAAAATTAGAGGCCAATATCCCTGATGAACACAGACATAAAAATCCTCCACAGAATACTACCAAAATGAATTCAACAATGCATTAAAAAGCTCACTTACCATAATCAAGTGGGATTTGTCTACAGGATGCAAGAAAGTTTTGAAATATGCAAATCAATCAAGGTCATACAACAAATTAACAGAATGAAGGATAAAAAGCATATGATCATCTCAACAGATGCAGAAAAGCATTTGAAAAATTCAACTTTTCATGACAAAAATTCTCAATAAGTATAGAAGAAATGCACCTCAACACGGTAAAGATCATATACAAGCCCACGTGTAACATCACATTCAGTGAAAAGTTGAAAGCTTTTCCTCTAAGATCAGGAACAACACAAGGATGTCCATTCTATATAGTACTAGGAGTCTTAGCCAGAACAATTACGCAAGAGAAAGAAAGAAAAGGCACCCAAATCAACCTGGAAGAAATTAAATGGTCTCTGTTTGCAGAATACATAATCTTATGTATAGAAAGCCTAAAGACTCCACCAAAGAACAGTTAGAATTAATAAGTAAATTCCGTATATTTATGGGATACAAATTTAACAACAAACTTTCTGGAAAAGAAATCAAGAAAACAATCCCATTTACAGTAACTACATAAAATAAAATACTCAGGGGGCCAGCCTGTGGCTCACTCGGGAGAGTGTGGTGCTGATAACACCAAGGCCACTGGTTCGGATCCCAGATAGGGATGGCCAGTTAGCTCACTGGGTAAGTGTGGTGCTGACAACACCAAGTCAAGGGTTAAGATCCCCTTACCGGTCATCTTTTTAAAAAAATAAATAAAAATAAATAAATAAAATAAAATAATCAGAAAAAAAAATCAACTAAGGAGGTGAAGGAATTGTACACTGAAAACTACTAAACACTGATGAAAGAAATTGAAGATAACACAAAAAAATGAAATGACATCCTGTGTTCATCAATTGAAAGATTGACAAAATGTCCGTACTACCCAATATAAACCACAGATTTAATGCCATCCCTTTCAAAATTCCAGTGGCATTTCCCTCAGAAATGGAAAAACGTCTTAAAATTCATAGGGGTCCACAAAAGACCCATAAGAGTCAAAGGAATCTTGAATAAAAAGAACAAGGTTGGAGATATAACACTACCTAATTTGAAAATCTACTAGAAAGCTATAGTAATTAAAACTGCATAGTACTGCCATAAAAACAGACACATAGCCCAATGGAACAGAAGAGAGAACCCAGAAATAAATCTACACACTTTAAGTCGATATATTTGCAAACCATACATCTGATAGGGAGTTAATATCCAAAATATATTAGGAACGCATCTCAATAGTAAGACAACAAATAACCCAATTTTAAAATGGACAAAGGACCTGAAAGGACATTTCTCAAAACAAGACATACAGACAGCCAACAGGCATATGAAAAAAATGCTCAACATCACTAATCCTCAAGAAAATGCAAATTAAAACCACAATGACATATCACCTCACATACTATCAAAAAAAGGAAAGATAATAATTGTTGGTGAGGATGTGGAGAAGAGGGAACCCTTGTACACTGTTGGTGGGAATGTGAGTTAGCACAACCATTATGGAAAATAGTATGGAGGTTCTCCAAAATATTAAAATAGAACTACCATATGATCCAACAATCCCACTACTGGGTATATATATAAAGGATGTGAAATCAGAATGTGGAATATATATCTGCACTTCCTTGTTTACTGCAGCATTATACACAATAGGCAATACATTGAAACAATTTAGGCTGGCCCGTGGCTCACTCGGTAGAGTGTGGTGCTGATAACACCAAGGCCACAGGTTCGGATCCTATACAGGGATGGCCGGTTTGCTCACTGGCTGAGCGTGGTGTTGACAACACCAAGCCAAGGGTTGAGATCCCCTTACCGGTCATCTTTAAAAAAAAAAAAAAAAGAAACAACTTAATGCCCATCAATGGATGAATGAATAAACAAAATGTAGTATACATACCCAACTGAATACTCTTCAGTCTTAAAAAAGAAAATCTTGTCATTTGGGACAACATGTATGAACCTGGAGGACATTATCTTAAGTGAAATGAGACAGGCAGAAAGACAAATAGTACATGATCTAACTCATACGCAGAGTGTAAAAAAGACAAACTCATAAAAACAGTATAATGGTGGTTATTACAGGCTTGGAGGTGAGGGGATTGGGAAGATGTTGGTCAAAGGACACAAAATTTCAGTTAGACATGGGGAATAAGTTCAAGAGATCTACTGTAAATCATGATTAATAGCAACATATTGTATATTTAAAAATTACTAAGAGTAGATTTTAAATATTCTCAACAACAAAAAGATGAGTGAGTTAACACTTGATTTAGTCATTCCCCAATATATGGATATCAAAATATCATGTTGTGTGCCATAAATACAATTTTTTCTTGTCAATTAACACAAAATGAATTAAAAAAAAAAAAAAAAAGACAGGTCAGCCCTGCCCCTTTTCATTGGCAGAGAGGGAATGCCAAATCAGAGATTAACCAACTCTTATCTACCTACCAGTCAGATATAGAACCAAGAGAGGGTGAGTACTGTTTGGGAAGAGCATTATTTGGGGGTCTGGGTGGAGTACACAAG